ACGCGTTCAATGATAGTATATTGATATCATTATATTACTCTAAAATCGCCTGATCGTCTTGATTGTTTTTGTTGGTTTCAGATGATTGTGATCATGGGCGTGGGCCTGAATATTACATTGCGTCTATTACTGATTGCCTGTTCGAAGCATACCCGTGCGATGACATCGAAAACTGGGAGAGTTGCACAACATGCAATTCTGGATGCAGTATAATGGGATATCACGCTAACTTTCTAGAATACGGCACCTTTGCTCTCTCCACTACGTCAAGCTACCCGTTTTGTTGATATATGTTACTGTTGTGAACTGTGAAAATTAAATAAATATTCAAATAATCATTTCCATTTTTCATTGAACTTTTCAATGCACTATGATTTGTACTAATTCTGTGGCCGTATTATAATATTGTTCATATTATCTAACAAGCCATACATTAGTCATCGCCAATTGGTCACTCGTTATAAAGACTACTGTAAAACATGTCTTTTTCGCGAGCATGGCTTTTTCGCGAATTTAGCGAGAGAACTGATTCGCTAATTCAAGATGTCGCTAATGAGTTTCTCATCAATTCAAAATGGCCGACAATAACAATAACAAGAGAGATTCGCTAAATTAACATTTCGCTATTACGTCATTTTACCAAAATTCGCTAAAATTGCATGCCGCTTTTTCGACATGTTCTACAGTATATTCGGGTGATACGTATTTGCCAGTGCTCTAGAAATGCAGATTAAAATCCCGACTACCCTCTATAATTATTTCAATGAAGAGGTTTGATTTGTTGATAAATCGTTCACGTCGTGTGAAAAACATTACTAAAATAGCAACATATGAGAAATTTAATTTGTGTTAAAAATAAATGACCTGTTTTTATTCATACTTACCTAACCATTGCTCGATTTCTATCACATTACATATGTACTGTGTTTTTAATAGTTAGACGTTTGCTCAATATTATTAGTATTGTCTGCAAACATATGCAAATGCGATAAAACAGTGTCGTCTAAATTGAGTCTTCTAGGAATTTGATGCACAAATTGAATTGCACAAGTGTATTTTGACACCTCAGTTGAAATAGAAAAAATATCAGCAAATTAGATTACTCGTTTTATCTAGTAGGAGAATACACAAATTATATTTCGATTTCCGTCTATTTGAATAAGAGTTATCGGTCGTAGGGCTGTGTAAAAAATGTTGTTGAAACATGTCTCAGTATCTTTTATGATAGGCGATTTTGCTGCAGTGATTGTCTTGAATTGTATTTAAACATTACTGTATAAAATGACACAAACACAATTGTATACATGATATATGTATTCCAGTGCATGTACAAATCCCGGTGCGGCGCACATGAAGGAACACACCTCGCTTGCATACAGCAGATCCATGTATAGGATGAACTGAAAATCTGTCCGGTACTCGGCCAGTGGCTTTGACCGCCTCATTAAATCTGCATCACACTTTACTGAATAATAGAGTGCAGCCATTCACTGACTGCAGAATGAATTCAGAACCCACCGATCTATTACCGGTGCATCATTATATGATCGCGTACTAGCCTAGAATTCAGCCATTCAGAGTTCACTCAATAATGACCTGGTGAATCGCCATATATCTACGTTGTTGGCACATAATTCTGTGCCATTGATGATTGAATGTCTTCAGTACATAACCATGGAACTACCATATGCAGACTGACACGTACGACAACAACACTCACCGATTTACTACTCTATTATTCGATTTTTCAAATATTACGATCGTAGATGGCAACTAGTCTATCAGCGTACAGCCAGTGATATCGAATGGCGACACTGTACTGCTCGATGTAGACCAATTAATAAACTGTAGTTGTGAATTACACGTCGTAACTTCACGTTGAACTTTCCTTCAACTGAACTCGCGAGGATGTTGAAAAAATCGAAACGGTGACTGTTTCGAATTTTCAGAAGCAGCTCATATTTGAAACAACGAATCATTTGTTCTCAAAACAAATCCAACTAATATTTTGTTTTGCTCAGATATATTGCTGCACTATTTTTACAATTTCCTATTTTGTTATTCTATAGGGACATTGAGATTAACACAGTACATGAATTATTTGACAATCACACTGGCTTATATTTTTCTTGTCAAATATTGCTTAGATGTGTTGCTGTCCTACTATTTATATGAATCTTTATAAAATTAATTTTATATTTCGTTATTCAATTTCGATTCTCAATAGGCAACCTTATGTTTTATAAAAATAAAGTACGTTATTTTGCATTGCCAAGTGTGTTGTCATAGTAGCTAATTATGGACATGATGATTTATCATAGACATTCATAAAACACATAAAACGTATGTAGAAAAAAGCTACAGTATGAAAATATAGAGATACCCCCACCCAGAGCATTATGTGGGGCAGATGGTGGTTTCAAACCCACTTAAATAAATGTTCCCCTAGTAAGTGTCAACGTTTTTAATTTTGATATTATTTGGAAAATACATTGCATAATATTACAACAATCTTCCACCTACACAATTAAACCTTTAATTTGATAACAACAAACAGATGAACAGAATTTGGGACCGATTGACTTGACGGATCATAATAAAAAAATTCTTTGAACTGTTGTCAACAATTCGTCCAAGATGGTATATCTAGCATGACCTAGATGATTTTAATAATGTGTTGATAAGCATATATCAAACCGTGACGAAAAATTTACTGTTGTGTGTTTAGTATGTTATTTTAAGCACAACAGATAAGATTGCACCTATTTCACAGTCGCGGCTGTTTTATTATCTCGTATTCCCAGTTGCAGTTATCTGTTTAGTGAACATATGTTCATTATCATAAGAAGAAAAAAAGGTAGATTTTTTCAAACATCTGAGTTTCAAATTTCAGCAAGTTTCTTGCACGCATATGAATGTAATTTGTTGTCGAAATCTAATGTCCAAGTCAAAATGAGAGACCATATATTGTATAGTCTAAACAGACTTTATTTAATCGAATGCATGTCTCACCAGTATCTGCATTGGGTGATGCATATCTTATTTCAGATAACAATATTAAATAACACCAACAATGTAGACAACGGTTCAAGCAAGAAGTAGGCCGTATAAGTATATAAGTCTACATTTATGGTGGGGATGCTTCTCTCCTGCTTCAACTGACATAACATATGCATGCAGTCCATTATAAGTGCTGCGCAATTTGTCAATGTATGTGTACTGTGTAGTCGTGTATATTACGCTATCTCATGCACCGGTATCGGTAAACGTGTTCAATACTTAATACGTGGTAAACACATTTTTAAATATTTGAATGAATAATTTAATTTGATAAATGTGATTTATATTGGTTATTATACTTTATTGAACTTTCAATGAACACATTGTCTGTTTTAGTAAACAAGTGTCTCCTCTATATGTGACCTTGATTATTTAAATGCGAACACAACTGTATAACTATTAATTACCTAGAAACACTAGAGGCCAAATAAACCTGACTATGTTTTGTCATGTCGAATAAATAATGAGAACATAAATCGAGGAAAAATATCGATAATTAACAGAAAATTTGAAATTGTCGAAATCCTGAAAGGGGGTGAAATGTTACTAGCCTACATGCAGTTTTCTGATAGTAATGGCAAAGTGATAAATACCTCTAAGAACATAAATATATGTTTATTTCTAAACATGAATACAATAACATATAATAAGTTAGCTAAAATATAATTAATGGTCCACAGCACAAACTAGAATGAGTAGATGAAATTATATTAACAACTTTGATTACTGAGTTTCCAGTTGACATTATTATTATCTAGAATTTTATTTGGATCAATTGATACATTGATAAATTACTAATGCCAAATCACAAATCCGTCAGTCAGTCGTCATCTCGAAATGTATTCGTTCTACAACACTTGTATGATCGTACATTCAAGAAGAGGAGTTACGAAACCACAACGCAGTTGACAAGCACATGTATGAACAACACAAGATTAGAGGTAAACCTCAACCAGTCTACAGTCATCATCAAAGGACACCATCCTTGTCAGTGTGGTAGTGTCGCTATACACTCATATTCGTCATGACTGCAGTAAAGAAATGATGGAAGAATAATTGACTAAAGTGAATGAAATGCTACAATTTATCGTTACCAATGTATTTTTCAATTAAATGGACACTGTTATCTACAAAATCGTAGTTGCCAACATAACCATGGGCAAACTAGAGAACATAAATCTTTTTGGTTACCAACGAAAAACAATTTATAGGGCCTCAAGAAAAACAATCACGTAAAATCACCGAAAACTTGACGTGTTCAACCCGTAACTACGTCATCACCAATACATCATGCCATTATTAAACCAAACGCAAAATCCTTAAACCTGCCATTAAAGCATAAACCCAAACAAGCCTACCTTGTTCAACATTTTAAGGATATGGTACCACTCGATTCAAATTCGCAGACTTATTTTATATATTTTTTAAAATTTGCCAGAATAACAAAACAAATAAAACCATCAGTGATACCAACACCATGTCCCCCTATGACATCAATAAAAGTGACTATTATCTGTACCCCATTTTCCATTCAGTTCCACCCTCCCCACCCAACAACAGAGCAGCACCTATCTTGCCAGTGTTTATGTAAGTCATGTTATGATTACAGCTACCCTTACCGCTGCTATATATATTTTTATTTAGTTGTTGTCAATGTAACTGTAATATTATTTTGTTAAAGTGTTTGTTGTTATATTCATCAATCCTGATTAAGACCTCATGTGTTGTTGATACGATAGTTAATAATGATGAGATACATCATTTACCAAGCAAGTCATTAATTATTAGTTAAACAATGACATACATGTAGTCATCTTAATCCTTATGTATAACATGTTAAACTGCCACTTAACATGCAATATACTATATTAAATGAAGTGTATTACATAAAGAATGTAACTCTGAAATTTGTTTGTGATATTTTCAATACTCAGATATTACTGGAAAAGTAACATTCTATTAATATATAATTTTATCATGCTGGTCATAAGTTGCAAACTGTGTTATTTACTCGTTCAATAAGTTCATATTATGCAGGTCACTTCTGTAACTGTGTGACATGATTAGATTAGCTCTTATTGATAGTTTTTTTATCTGGCAAACATGTGATGTAATTCTCATGACTCGGTGCACAATATAGTTGATACTATATATAAACGCATTCAGTCAACACGCGTTGCTTTTGCTCTTGCCAGACGGTAGACCAGAATTCAGGTAAGGAATTGCTGACGATATATTGACCTAAACAAAAACTCATGACTCAATTAAAATAAACTGAATCTAACTTATTTACATTGCGCTTTTTTTTACCTTCACAAATATAATCTCGACATAAACTTGTATTCATTCAGTATGCACTGTTGTGTCTATAATTATTGTATTTTCAATCATGGATTCCTTGTGAACTTGTTTCCCTGCAATAATGTTTCTTGCACAGGTAAAAAACTGTCAGCAGCAAAATGGCACGTTGTATGTGGTTATTAACTTTTGCTAGCATCATTGCACTAGGTAAGAACTATTGTGTTGAATCAGTTGTGATATATGTGACATTTGGGTCAAAAGCACAGAATCAAATTCTCCAAATGAATAATAGGCCGTATGTATAGTCATGCCACACTAGTAATGTCTGCAGTGAAAATATTCACCACTGAAGTTATTAGAACATACTGACCAATATAATAGTTAAGAGGCATAACCAGCAGTAACCGAAACCTTAGTATCATTGTTCAGCTTCGCCATACATTGTCTCAAGCAAATTGGTAATCTTAATTTCAAACAGAAACTTTTTTCTACCATTTTCTTTGCAATACATATTTAATTGTAATTTGAACATGTTTTACTCTGACCCGCTCCAAGACAAAATTAAATAAAAAATATATTCAAATTATAGAGGGCCCTATATTCAACAAAGTGTAAACAAGCACAAAAAGACGCTATGCGTATAATAAACATGGAATATAGAATGTTCACTTGTTCAATGCGCGGTTTTGACTATGATGTCCGTTGTTTACTTGATGGCGTTATATTCGTTGATCGACAACTCGTATTCATACATTATTGACAGATTATTATTTGATGGTTTGTTCAGCTAATGTAGGCTGATATTGTTTTTATGATGACTTCAATGCATATCACTTCGTTAACATTCTTTTCACCTGTTATTAGGACGAGGCGATACGATTTGTTTTGCCGACCTGGCTGACCGATGCTTCACAAACGATCCTCCATATGACAATGTTAATAACTTACCAGATGAGCCTTCAGAGATCGACACCACGTTCTGGCTTTATACTAAGGACAACCCAACAACAGGACAGAATCTAGTTCGAACAAAAGACGAGACACTTCTCAATTCAGACTTCAATGTTAATATTAGAACCAAATTTATAATTCACGGCTGGTTGAATGATGGTATTACGCAAGGTTGGATGTATGACATGAAAGACGCACTGTTACAAAACGTAAGTACATTTAGAATTAGCATTAACAATACATAAACAATATTCTGAGCAGTCTAAAGAATAAAACGCGTTTGACTGCTGAAATGACATACACGTTGCCAGTAAACCAAAGACTGATTTACTGCAGAACATCAGCAGTTTGACAATAACGACTACGTAATATACTTCACTATATCAAATATTTATATTTGTGAGGTAATGGTTTAGTTTTGTTACAAATACCAAGATCTATATTTTGAACCTTGTGTTATTTGTTTTACTAGGGGCGTCAACAAATTTTACATTTAAATATAGAGTTAATAAGCCATTTATACAGTTCTGCCACTTTGTAGTAATGCACGCGATTACCATCGACATTGAGAATGAAAATAGTTTTCCGATATGAAAATAACAACGGATAGAAAGTTGTGTTATGGTTTCAATGTTGATGCTGCTGTTACATGGCATAATGCTATTGTGTTGACACTTTCATTGCATTGTAATTTTGTCATAAGGATGATGTTAACGTTATTATCACTGACTGGGGCGAGGGTGCTAGAAAGCTTTACGACCAATCTGTTGCAAACACCAGAGTAGTGGGTGCCGAAGCCGAGCTCTTAGCCAGATGGATCAATTCAATATATCCAGAATACACTTACCCGGATATGCATTGTATTGGTCACAGCCTGGGTGGTCACACATGTGGATACATGGGTGAGGGTTTGGAAGATGAGATTCCAGCCAAGTTAGGAAATATTTCTGGTAAGTTCATATTTGGAAGCAGCAATACAAATTAGCGACGATTGTATGAGCATGTGAAACGCTTGCTGAATGTATTGACATTGTATTTATGTTATTATTAGGACTCGATCCGGCGGGACCCAGGTTTGAAAATGAGCACGAGCTCGTTCGCGTTGACCCAAAAGATGCCCAGTTTGTTGAGGTTATGCACACTGATGGCGATCCCTTATACAGCTTGGGTTTAGGTATATGGAGAACGGTACTTTTTATTTTTATTCCTATCTTGATACTAATATCATCAATCTGATATAAATCTAAGAAATGTCCCCAAGCCAGATATTCAAACAAAGGCACATCCTTTGAGAATAATTCCACACGTGCTCGTTAAACTTCCACCACCTGGTGACTGCAAATATACGTATATGGCATTCAATTACTAATCAGCTCTTTTATCACACCATAGTGTGGCCATGTTGACTTCTACCCAAATGGTGGCGAAGACCAGCCGGGATGTCCCCTTGTCGGGGATGGTAAGCACTTAATTAAACTCACTCGTATTTATTAAGACTTAGATGGTTCAGTGGAAGTATAAATATGAATGCACTAAAACGTCGATCATTTAACGCTAATAAATCTTTGGTTGAATAGCCATGGTCATATCGAGGTTGTTGTTCGCTTCTCTAACCAGAATATAGGTATCTATATGGAACACAACTCGATGAACGAGTCAACAGCGTTGTTAGATGTATTCACGAATTTAGGTGAAATTATAGCTGAGATGGCCTACATTTCAACAACGCACGTGATGTATACAACATTAATTTTTATTTTGTTCATGCTAGGTGGTGGAAATGTCGAATATTTTGTCTCGCAAAAGTGAGAATATTATTGCTTGTCGTGACAATGAATTATACTATTATATTACTTTCAATTCTAGAAATATGTGACCATATGAGGGCCGTTGACTATTACTACCACTCAATATCCCCAACTTGTGTATTCAAGGCTTACCCGTGCGATATAAGTATAGAAGATTGTAAATTGGATGCGCCAGACGAATTCTGCAATGAGATGGGTTATCGGGCACAACCAAAGCCAGAAGGCATTTTTTTCGTTATAACTGCTGATGATGAACCGTACTGTATTGACTGATTTCGAATATTATACCAGTTTTCTGAAGATTATATGAATAAATTTGATGTCGATAATTGTTGTAAATAGAGATCATATATATATATATATATATAACATTGATCAGTAGTCAATCAAATTCACAGGTATCACAGGTATCACGAGTCAGCCCAATATTATTCCCCACAGACTCTAGTATGTTTTCCAGCTGCACTCGATCATTACACACTTGATCACAACAACAACAACAAAAACAACAACAACAACAACAACAACAACAAAAACAACAACAACAACAACAACAACAACACATCTTATGGCCTCTTCATATACATAGTTGTAATATCTCAAGCACTGTTTTATGAACAACGTAACCAGTGCATATATTGAATGCATCGTTAAGAATATGATTATCATAACTCATTATTACACATTACTGTGAAATCTCAAGCACCTATGCTGATTTGTCATTGCATGCAGTGAAGCAAGTACAGAAGCGATGTAACTAACGTAACAGATAACCATATATGGTTTGCGATCTCATCATTATGCACAAGCGTTTCAGATAGGGACATACAATGATTTATACAATGAAGACCATATATGGTATTATGATCTCATTAGTATGCATAATTCAAATACCTAGAGAAGTATTAGTTCTTATGGTAAAAACTTCTCACCATATTTCAAAATTTCGTTTGGTTACATCCGGTAAAAATAATAAGTAGTTATAGGATGGGTACTATCAATATCTTATTAGAACATTCTGATGATCACTATTTATTTGTTTAGAAAATAATGCATTAACATAAAACTTCATTTGTGCATAATTTTAGGCAGTTTTTCTTCAAACAAACATTTTATATGGGGATAACAACTTGAAAGGCTATTAACATGAGGTGGTCTGGTTATTATTAATCGGATTTTGCATAAGATGCATGTAAGCAATGTACAACATGTAACATGTAAGCAATGTACAACATGTAACATGTAAGCAATAAACAATACAAGACATTCTCTTCATCTGTAGTTTAGTGTTATAACAGTTAATCCGCTTTGGAATATGCTCGTACTATAAGATTACAGTTATGTGTCAGGAAGCAAGTCAGTAGCAAATGTCGAAATAACATAACAAATTATGTTTTTATGTAATTTAATGTATTCACGACAAATCGCGATATGTGTTGAACCATTAACAATTATTTTCACTAGTAAACTACTACGTGATGTAAAACATTGCGCAATCACACCAAAGTTTGAACCTCGGGAACAAATGACATATAAATAACGTCAAACATTCTGAAAAAAAATTGGTAGGAGAGAGAAAATCACACTGGTGGAAGACGGGTTTTGACTCGGAAAACAAAAGATGACATACAATAAGTACTCCAGTACCTGACACGGTATTCCGTCATTATAACTTAGAGGGCGCTATAACAGTGACAACGCTAACGAACTATATTGAGGCTCAGACTAGTAATACAATAGGTGATTTTCTGAACAATTGCGAGATCTCGCGAGATGCATGAAAGACGCGCGTCGAACGTCTGCCGCAAAAATCGAACGATTTGATTTTGAACTAGAATTTCTTTATTTCGCAGCTTACATTGACCGGCCGATCTTCGACAGAGGAATATTGCTTCCGAATACCCTTACTTAATCGAAATTGCCTATCATTAAATGTGGACAGCACATTATTAAGCATGGAAATGTCCCCGAAATACTTTCGCGTTTGTCGAATCCCACGCGATGTTTGACGCGACTACGACGCTATGACCTTTGTTTGTCCTGTTTTTACGTTCGATTTCACGCATAACGCGTGATTCTCGCAGTGTACGGAAAATGGTCTATTGTATTAGTCTGAGATTGAAGGATAAACTTAACCAAGCAATTCAAAGTTTCGTTATGAACTTGAATGGTCAGACAAGCTATACATATTCTGGTAGGTAAGTAGTAATGCCTGTATATTTTATTTGTATTATGGTATCCGTTAATTCAGATAAAGTTTCGGCAAATTAAACTAAAGGAAATCAAACCTTTGATCACTATTACTCTCATATTGTGTACATATATTCACCACGATATGAATTAGTTTCGTGCAAGACAAATTATCTGTATCACTCTTGGTTTTAGAGATATTGCATTTTTCTTTGCCTTAATCCCTTTAACAAGCAATCGATTACAAAGCCAACAAACATATACATTTCTAGTTTTGATTTCTCGGATTGACACATGTATGCACGGAAGCGATGGAATGCCGACGAAAGGCAACGACGTGACTTACATAATGTGTTTTGTTTGTGCGTTATACAGAACACGACATAAACACTGCAATGATTTCAACACACTAGGCAATATTTGTTAGTATTGTTACTTGTGCCTGGTTTTCGTGTTATGATCTGCCCGCAACATAATTGTGTAACCTTGATTAGGTTATATCGAGTTTATATACAGGTCAGCTAGTGGCAAATATAAATCGGCTTATGTGGTCAGAACATCGGATCATCGGTCCGTCAGAACATCGCGTTTTCTGGTTGTCAGACGAATGGGCGAACCCTCGGGAGGAACATGGCAATAATTCTAGTATATTTCAACTACTACTAATAAATTCAATTGGTAAAACCGACGATGCATAATTTACACAAAAAAGTGAAGTTAAACATGTTTCATTTATACAACATATAAGAAAGGTTCAGTAGGTGCTAACGACGGATGTGTTCAACTAGTACGCCATGCAGCAAAAAAAAAAAAGAAACACACACGCGCCCAAATCAAAAGAGATCACCATGAATAGCGCCACCATGCGACGAGGTTTGATAATCTAGATGATCTTTCAAATAATTCTTTGAGATTTCGTACTTAGCAAACGGCTAATTAATTTTAACTAATTAGGATATTTAGTGAGAGACATGGCGATGTATTTTTGATAATCCTTTTGATGTGTCAGGGGTCAGCATGAGCAGATGAACAAAGTTCGACTTACAAACTCAAGGTAAACTATTTGGAAATTACAGTTTGTAATTCGTTACCCTTGCGACGAGTTCAGTAGCCCGTAACTCGCTAACCAGACTTTCAGTTCAACAACAAAGTAGACATTTAGTGAAAATTAACCTAAGAAGTATGGGCGTTTTTTTAGTGTTGACCACGTAGACCTGGAACATTGCGTGATTTTAAGAAATACGAGATTTCTTCGAAATGTGAACCTGTTTTTTTCCGTACAAGGCTAACAAATCGGATATCGTATAATTTATATAAGCGCGCAGTTAGTGCGCTGTTAGCTACATTTAAAGCGGGAGGGCTGCACCTGCGCGCGCACGGGAATTGAGTCCCAAGCGACGATAACAGCACACGCTAAAAACGCAAATGCTCATGGGTAGACGCTTGTCTGTAAACAATGACACGCTATGGCAATCTGACGCATGCGCAAGCGACGACTCTCCTGCTTTAAACAAGTATGTTTTGTTTGTGGGCTTACTAATAAGCCAGGCAGACTAATAACTTTTTATTTACATTTTTACACTCACATGTCACTTTATGAAGGTCACTAATGACAGATTCCATGACTTGATTATATTGTCACCATATTGATACTTATTATCTGATGTGATTCTCTCGTTCACAACTAATGAACGATACAAAACACTGTTCAGCCAACACATGTTACTTGTTCCCGACAGAAGGTCAGTATATACTTTGACATGTGGAGGTTGATTGTAAACATTCAGCCTTGCTCTTCTGCATGACCGTTATTTTCACAATCTTATAGTAGATATTTTCAACAATATGTCCTCTGTAATGACATTTGGAATTGTCATTCCTCCAGTAACTGAGTTTGTGTATCTAAACACGATTTACGTTTAATGAAGTATGCCTATCAATGAACATAAAGAACCTATTTCCTGCTACATAGATTGGCTCTTTTTTAAAAATTAAAACTGTTATGCCTTCAATATTTTATCGACGGTTGTTATAGCTGATTATCGGGCATACAACTAGGTGTCAACAGCACCCGATCAAGAGCATCTCAATCATTGATAAATTTGTTGTCACCAATATCATTGGGTCGTATGTTTTTCAGTAGTATTATTCTTTCATCGGATATCATCACATGCACTTATATATAACTATTATAAACTAAAAAAAATCACTGCGAAATATCATTACAGTGTTAAGACATGTTTCACGATTTATTGGCCTAAACACAACCGCAATATCAACAAAATTAAATGAACTCAACTCATCGCAAGAAAGTTAAGGGGTATTTCAAAATACATATAAAACATGTCGAAGATAATTTTTAAATTAATCTTGTCACCGGAACTTCATTATCAGTGATAAACTTCCATAAAAAGCATATTTCATTTTTAATAATATTTCTTTCACAGGAAAATGACTGATATCTGTTCAATGACACGTATTATTTGGTTGATATCTTTCGCCAGCGTCAATGCACTAGGTAAGTATCCCAGTGGTAAATTGTTGAGCCTGTTTGCTTATATGGCGTTCAACTTATTTTTATCTTTAACTTATTTATTCTCACCAGCATAATAATGTTGTAATGAATAAATTACTTATAAATTGTATGTACATATCATAACTTGAATACATTTTTTGTCTAATTGTTATTTTTTAATGTACCTCCACATTTGTTTACCTTTTGTTCGTCTAGTTAAAGTGTATATATCATCAACAAAACTCTTCTCACTCTTTATCAGGGCAAGGCGATACGATTTGTTTTGCAGACCTAGATAACCGATGCTTCACAAACGATCCCCCTTTTGACAATGTCAATAATCTACCAGATGAGCCCTCCTACATCGACACCACGTTCTGGCTCTATACTAAAGAGAACAGGGAAACAGGGCAGGCACTTGAGAGAACAAAGCCAGGGACACTTCACAATTCAAACTTCAACGTTAATATACCAACAAAATTTATAATTCATGGATGGTTGAATGCAGGCATTACACAGTTTTGGATGTATCGCATGAAGGACGCTTTGCTAGATTTCGTGAGTACCATGCTTATCTTTTTTTTAAATTGAAAGCAGCGATAGCTTTTATTCTTTTTCTGTGGAAAGGATGTCGTTATCATATGTTCCCAAGTTTTGGCGCTGTCAAAAATAACGCAGCACCATTCCTGCCATCATTGTTAGTATTCAGTCTTGACATATTATTTTCAACGAAATAGGTCTCAACTATTTTTAGATATTTAATATCACTGCTCACGCCACCCACCCACTGAAATACCCGTACATCACACCACTTTTCACTTTAATAAATAACCGCCATTAAATTTGACAGTTTTATTTTTCAAAATTAAGGATTCGCTCTGTGAAATTTAGTGTATGAACCTATTGGAACAGCCACCCTTTGGCTAAACATCAATATTATTACTAAGACATCCTTAAGACCTTAAGACATCAATCGACATGAAAATAACACTGTCACCTCCGAATAAATTAAATTTGTGTTAGTCACACCCTGCTTAAATATGCCGCAGTGATATTTACTATTTTAACGCACGGGAATCGTTTCTGCCCAAAAAAAACCAAACGCCACCGCTCCTTGCTGATTTAGTGTTGATACGGGCGAAGATCTATGATACAATGATATCATAACTAATTTTATGAAACATTTACTAACTTACAACAGATAGAATACATTCAACTTAGATTGTAAGTAATATTTATTTAAGTTATTGCAATGGTGTTTTTCATAAGGACGATGTGAATGTTATTATCACTGATTGGGGAGAAGGTGCTACGAGGTTGTACGACCAGTCAGTTGCAAACACCAGAGTAGTAGGTGTAGAAGCCGAGCTTTTGGCCAGGGCGATCAATGCAGAATTTGGTTATGGTTATCCGGATATGCATTGCATTGGACACAGCCTTGGTGGGCATACATGTGGATACATGGGCGAAGGTTTGGAAAATGAGATACCAACTAAGTTAGGAAGGATTTCTGGTAAGTAGATACCTGAACTCAGCAAAAAACCCTACAACTACGTTATCGCTATGATAATTGATGAGGGCTGAAATAATATGAGGCTATTACGAGAATACCTCAAAGTATGCACGAAGACAGTACAGCTGGGGTATCGACCGACGCGCAGCGGACTGTCTGAGTGCATACTTTGAGGTATTCTCGTAATAACCTTATTATTATACATTTTTTCCTTCCAAGGATACATCATGGGAATGCCGAAATTCAAAAAGTTTAGAACAGAATCAGCGAATTTCTTTGTTTGAAGTCCGGTCAAATCCTGGTGGAAGCTATGTTTGTTTTTATTATTAGAGGCCGCTTACGCGCGTAATCATTCCATATTTGGAATTTGTATTCTTTTATTTGGTAGGATGAAAATACCGCCTAAAATACCGCAAACTTACGGCGTTACGGTTATAGGCGAATAATACTATTTATTATGATATTATATTTTATTTAGGACTTGACCCTGCAGGACCTAGATTTGAGAACCAACATACGCTTGTTCGCCTTGATCCTAAAGATGCCCAGTTTGTTGATGTTATACACACCGATGGCGACCCTTTATTAAGCTTGGGTCTAGGTATATGGATGGAGGTAATGTTGTTTTGTGTCATGTATATTGTATCAGGCGAAACAGCACATTAACTGTAACACGTGCCTTGGTATATTAATTATTTTGAGTACGACTATTGTTGCTGATTCTAGTTAATAAGTGTTAGACAACAGCATCAAATGCTTAATCAACCACGATTTAACACCTTTTATTATGTCATAGTGTGGAGATGTCGACTTCTACCCCAATGGTGGCGAAGATCAACCAGATTGTTCTTTCATTGGAAGTGGTAAGCGTTCCTTCATAAACATAAATTATTGTCTTATCCATCACTATTGAGATAGATGTATACAGATAACAATAGCTTATAGTTAATGTGATGCTGAATAAAGAAAATAATAATAAACACGAAGGAAATATTACACGTTGTTCTCAAGTTGACATAATTTCATTCCATACACGTATCTTTGTTTCTATTTAATATCAGAGGAAATCTAACCTACATTGATATTGCAGCTGCTTTAATAATGTATATAATGTATGTTGTTTGTTCAAAATCAGTGTAACTTATATATAAAGTTATCCATTTGCTTAGTATTGCTGTCGTTATTATGGTTATATATATTGCCACTTGGTATTTTTATGATTTGTAAAATAGACGATGTTAAAACCTCTACCAATCTTCAATTCCAAGATTATTACAACATGCCACTTGTATGGAATTTAAACCACTTTACATTCTTGTATTATTTTTTTCTATTATAGAAATATGTGATCATATAATGGCAGCCACATACTACTTGAATTCAATAACTCCGACTTGTGTATTCAAGGCTTATCCATGCATGGTTGAACTGGAATTATGTAATCCAAGCGCTGTACTTGAAGACTGCAATGAGATGGGTTATCGGGCAAAAGCCGAGCCTGAAGGCGTCTTTTATCTTACAACTGCTGATGATGAACCTTATTGCTTTGATTAATTAAAAAGAATATTACAACTTCCCTTGAGGATTATTTAAACAAATCGTGTTGTAAAAGTTGTATTAATTATAACAGTAGTATGTTCGTGTATATGAGTGTATTAAAAGTACCAATTATCATTCACTGAAATGAGGTTCGATTATTTATAACTTATAAGAAGTATGATTACAAGTAAGAAACTGACAATACATTGTTTATTTCTTTTCATCATTACCTTACCTACAAGTAATTAGTTTTGAAATTATATAATAGTGGTGAACAATGCGACACGATTGTATTATGCAATGTATTTTTTATAGGAGTGCTCCCGTGTGTCACGAATATCCAGATAACACAACTTGTGACTTTGTCTCACGCTGCACACTTACAACTACTACTAGAAACTCTTCAACGTAGATGAATACTACTAATGTTCCCGACTTTCTGTTGTTAAAATAATGTATTTTGTCATTTTTATTCTAACATATGACAACACACGAGTCTATGATACTCGTCATATCAGTGGTGTGGAACAATGAGTACAGTGGTACAGAATACATTGTGCTACACGACTAAGAAATGATCAGTCTCGGAGCAAGTACAATAATTAATGTATAAACACGTAAAGGTTATATCAAGTATTTGCAAAAGAGTGAACTAGTCCTCTCCTATTGGTAGCACACTCTGTCAACCAACCTTTACTTTTGGAGTATTTCGCTTCCTTTTTCTCATGTCCTCAAAAACTTGAGAAAGTTCCCTAATCCTAACAACGCTGTCACTTTACGTGCAGTAAGGTGACCTCAATTTATCAGCCTACACAGCAAAATATGTTTTCATTGTTAATAACACATCAATCATAATAGTCCTATAGTTCATACAAGGGTCGTCTATCCTTACATGCAAATTTAGTTGAAATCTGTCGTTCTCTCGTGCCCTACATTTTCTACTGATATTGTGACAATATTGGCGGAAGAATCTACATAATACCTACGCCTGGTAAGTAACAGTAAATGTTCATTGAAATGTATTAATTTTTATTTTAAAAAAACAATTCGATTCGACGTGCCTACGTGACATTCTTTGTAAACTATCAACACTCATAACGCTCATTGGACAGAGATAGCTGATGATTTGAAGACATGATATATAATCATTTCAGTAAATAATATCACTCCGTTTACTGGTACGACTTTGTTGCAACTACTGAAGTGAAAACAATTCAACACGCATTCAGCCATTTTGTAACATTTACGTTTGGGTTTATTGATAATCACTGATATAATCCACGATGTTCATAACATCACTGATTGTTATTGGAATCTTCTGTTCTGTCTCCGGTGAGTGGATTCTATTATCTGTACAAACCAATGATGAAAAAATCTATAACATTGTGTGTGAACATCTATATAGACTAATTATTGAAGAGTATAACTTTTGTGACAGTGCAAATTCAAACATATAAAATTTAGAGAATGAATAGTGATCGCGTCGTCTACACTTGCATTTTATTTACGCGTTGAACGTTCACAACGAAACGGCACGATTATCGGCAATCTTCCAGATGCGCATTACCAGAATGCCTAAACTAAAAAAAAACACGATGACCGTTTCAATATCCGACGATGCACGGCATTGTACTAATATGTATCGGTCTTTTACCTCACCGAATGAGATAAAATAAAATAAAAATATATTTTAGATCACATAAAACGCTGTTTTCATAGCATATTTCACTCGCTTCTGGGTACAAACGTCTTTAGTGTGACCAACAACTTAATTACTGCTATTTATAATTCCCAAAGTAACCGATGTGCAAGTTTTCCAGTTTGTACAATTTCAAGTATAAAGCACACTCAATATCGCGTTTTCTAAAACTTTTCAAGCCAAATACAATTTGACAATGACAATAAATTTTCAATGACAATGAATGACAATGAATCTTATAAGCAAACTCAAATATATTTCTCAAATATCATGTAATCATAAGTAGTTTATCTTACAGAGTCAAGGGACGATACAGTATGTTACGGTGACTTGGGCTGCTTTACCAATGACCCACCATTTGATAATGTCGATGCACTGCCAGAAGAGCCCGAAGACATCAACACGGGATTCTGGTTGTACACCAGACAAAATCGAGACAGCAAACAAGTGATTGATAGAAAAGATCCTGCGACTTTGCATAATTCGTATTTTGATGACAGCAAAGACACCAAGTTTATCATCCATGGGTGGTTACACAACGGAGATATTGACTGGGTATCGGATATGAAACATGCATTGCTGGATAAGGTATGTTTTACATTTCTTTTTTACTTTTTAGAGATTTTATTCTTCGTCATCCAGATTTTACCACCATACGCTCAAACACGCTCCTCGTGAATAAATTTTCAACATTTCTCATTATGCACAGGACGATCTGAATGTAATTCAAGTCGACTGGTCCGACGGAGCATTCAAATTGGACTACTTTCAATGCGTAGCCAACACCAGGGTCGTGGGAGCCGAGACACACGCCCTCATTGAAATGATCCTTGAGGAAACCAGTCTTGCCCTGACTCAGATACATTTGATTGGGCACAGCCTCGGTGCCCACATAAGTGGATATGTTGGAGAATATCTGAACATATTTCCTGGACGGATTACAGGCGAGATGAAACTTTTGTATGTTACCAAAATAAATACGCCATAGAAACGTGTATTCAGGGAGCAAAATGAACTAATTTAGGATTTCATTCCGTTGTTTGACTCATTAGGTTTAGATCCAGCTGGTCCAAGATTTGAAAACGAACATGTGTTTGTGAGATTGGATTCACGGGATGCATTTTTTGTTGACGTCATTCATACCGATGCGGAGCCTTTAGTTCCTAAAATAGGTTTAGGAATATGGCAAGAGGTGAGATATTAGAGAATGAATGGATGAATGTATGTATGAATGAATAAATGAATGAATGAATGAATGAATGAAAGGGTGATCGTGCGTGCGAGTGAGTGAGTGAGTGAGTGAGTGTGTGAGTGAAGTGAGTGTGTAAGTGAGGGAGTGAGGGAGGGAGGGAGGG